GCAAGACGGGAGGACGAGACCCGAGGACGAACAGGAAAGGAGCAGAGGAGAAAATGGGGAGGGTAGGACTACCAGAGGTACCTGGATAGAGGAGACGGAGGAGGAGGAGGAGGAGAAGGAGGAGGAGAGGAGGAGGAAGAGGAGGAGGACGAGGAGGAGGAGGAGGAGGACGAGGAGGAGGAGGGGGGGGGAGAGCACCAGGAGGAGGAGAACGAGGACCACCAGGAGGAGGAGGAGGAGGAGGAGGAGGAGGAGGAGGAGGAGAGAGCACCAGGAGGAGGAGGACGAGCAAGACGAGGAGGACGAGAACGAGGACGAGCAGGAGGAAGAGGAGGAGGAGGAGGAGGAGGAGGAGCAGGAGCAGGAGAAAGAGGAGGAGAGGAGGAGGCAGGCTGAGGCTGAGGCTGTGACTGCGACTGCCGTTGCCGCTGCGACTGTCATCGCGAATGCGACTACGACTGCGAGAACAGCAGAATTCGACAACTGGATTTTCATCTGAATCTTAAGGGGAATGCTTTCAGATATGCTTCTACACATCGCTGTTAGGTTGCTTTGCCGGGATAATCCCACATTTTTCTGGGGGATGGACGATTAATTGTGTCTGTGTGTTTCCCTCCTGACAAGAAGGACGTACACGTACATGAATCCACGTTGGTTTCGAGAGTACGCATTGCGCAAATGTTCGTATAACGCGGCCGGTCTCGCGGATCGCGGGTCGGAGGTGGACAGACCTCCTACCCTGACACGTCGATTAAGGAATTGGCCGTTTTCGGTTCGCGACAGGGCGTCGCTGCCGTCATTGTTGCGGGTCCAGGTCCGTCGGTTTCGGTCCCAGGCCGTTTTCACTAAGGGGAGGTTTACTAAAGGGAGGTTTGTCCAACGCGACAGAAGGACGTACACGTACATGAATCCACGTTGGTTTCGAGAGTACGCATTGCGCAAATGTTCGTATAGCGCGGCCGGTCTCGCGGATCGAGGGGCCGTGTTCATGTACATAGCTGGGCGCGTACGTCCTTTGTCGGCTCCCTATAATGGGGGGGTCATAAATGGGGGGATGGCGAGTGGTCCGAAAAGGTAGCCAAACGGTGCCCAGACGAGCCCCCTGGGGCTCTGGAGGGGCCCGAAGGGGGCACGAGAGGGAACCGTTTCGGACCCCCCCATTTATGACCCCCCTATTCAAGCCACGCCCACGTGAAGCCGCGAGGCCCGGCGGTGCCGTGTCCACACCGCGAGGTGAGTCAGTGGTCGCGCAGGGGATCGACTGTCGGGAGGGCTTCCCCCCCAAACAGTTTGTTCCGCCGGATCCTCCGAAGCGAAAACAGGATGGTGGGATTATGATGCTCCAACCTACTTTGGCCTGGATCATAAGAGAGAGTTTCGAGCGCCAAGAAAGTACCGAAACGGGAGAGCTTTCACGTGTCGGGCTCTGGGAGGCGATACTCGTTCGACATTGTGTCGATACTTTTTTGGGGGTGTTCGAAATCATTTTGGGGATTTGGTCCTTGACTACGACGGGAGCAACATAAGGCATGAGGCTAGGCAATGTCAGCGCAGTCTACGTGCTGTATGTTGACTTCACGAAAGAACAGGTTGGGGTACATCGATTCTGTGTCGATCTCCTGCTCCAAGCTGGGACTCGGGGTCACCGCGCGGATTTGGAACTCGGGCCGTTCTCTGAGGACGACACGGGCGACTGGGGCCTCCGGGATCCCAAGACCGCGCGGTGACAGACCGCTTGTTGAGGTCGTTGGGGATTCCAAGGTCACCAAGCGTTCCGTTACCACACGCTTTTCTGGAGGTCGCAAAGGGGTGTGGTATGAAGGGGTGCGGTGCCACTGCTAAATATGGCGTTATTATCTACGATAGCCGCAAGTGCGTTGCATCCCCATTTGAACAACGTTGGCTTGACGCGGACCGCCTCAAGCAACGTCAGAGCTCTTGATCCCAACTTCCCCAACTGACCGCAGGCTTATGTGAACGGCAACACTGCGCTTGTTCCCGGACGCCCGATCACCAAGCACGACACTTCGGAAATTCCGAATCGCGAAAAGCGTCATTCCGGAATTTCCATATCGCACAAAACGTAGTTCTGGAAATTCCAAAATTTAGGAGTCGTATTCTTTCAATACAAACTATTTAAGACATTCCGAAACGATGGTCCAGAAATTCCAGAATCGCACACATTAATTCCAGAAGTACCAGAATCTCCGGAATCGTATTCTCAGCATTGCCACCGCGCCTCTTTATACCACACCCCTTTGCGACCTCCAAAGGTTTTGTGGGGCCCCGAAGTTCAATGTTGAACGATCCACGCGGTGTCACGAATGAATTCTTAACGCTTCGCGTATCCCCACAAGCCCGTTCGCGCGCCGGCAATTAGGGTGCTCGCGGCCCGTACTTACTCTACTGACGCTGTCGGCTGGTGGGCCTGCAGCTGCGACTAAAAAAGTATCCCTACAAGTCCATCGATACACGATGCCCCAGGGGAGCTGCTATCGGGGGAGTGCGGCGGCATCATTATGAGAGGTCGGGGAGCCTCCGTGGGTCAGAGGCTTCTTTGATGCCTTTCGGAGTCTCTCGGGATGTCTTTCGGGAGCGCTTGGAGATCTTTTGGAGCCTCTTGCGGGCTTCCTCGGGGTCTCTCGGAAGTCCCTTTTCTTGGCCGTTCGCAGAGCAGATTGAGGCGTTTGGGGGGCCTCTTGGGGAGCATTTGGGGCCTCTTGTGGGGCTCTTGAAGCCACTTGGGCGCCTCCATGGGGCACTCCAGGGCCTCTCTTGGGGTCCTCTTGGAGGCGATCAACTAAGGAGGGCTTTTAAATTAGGGCTCCAGTGGCCAACATCGGCGAAACAGGGAGTACAAACCAACTAATTCTTTACGCGTCGTATCCCTACCAGCTCATCACGACACGAGCCGTTCTCGGCTATATTAGGCGGGACGAGGACGCGGAAGAAGGGAGGATGTAAGGAGAATGTGGAGAAAGAGAAGGAGCAGGAGGACGAGGAGGGGGAGGAGGGGGAGGAGGGGGAGGAGGAGGACGAGGAGGGGGACACGAGCCGTTCTCGGCTATATTAGGCGGGACGAGGACGCGGAAGAAGGGAGGATGTAAGGAGAATGTGGAGAAAGAGGAGGAGCAGGAGAACGAGGAGGGGGAGGAGGGGGAGGAGGGGGAGGAGGAGGACGAGGAGGGGGAGGAGGGGGAGGAGGGGGAGGAGGATGATGATGGACGACAATGGGAGGACGATGATGGAGGCCGATGAGGGGGAGGACGACAATGGGAGGACGATGATGAAAGGACAAGGGGGGGAGAGGGAGGACGAGGAAGAAGAGGAGGAGGAGGAGGAGGACGAGGTGGAGGAGGAGGATGACGATGTCGATGAGGACGAGGACGAGGACGAGGAGGAGGAGGAGGAGGAGGAGGAGAGCGCCATCGACATGGAAGGTGGGGGCCACGAGGTCCGCCGGCTCGACGACGCCCGCGTCGCCCGCGCCCGCCCCCTCAGTGAGGGGGCGGGCGCAACAGGGGGTCTTCAACAGGGGGTCTGCAACAGGGGGTCTTCAATGGGGGCTGAATGGCCCATGTATGCTCAATGTATCGCTCATGTATGAGAACGGGTGCGATTGGCATCCAATGTTGGCGGTCATTGAGGGCCAGTCGTTCGTGCCCGCGCGTTGCCCGCGCGGGCACGCGCGCCGTCCATCCATTATCGTTCATGCGTGCAGGGGTTCTTGCATATTGCGCGTGGGGCAGCGAAGTGGAGTGCAAGTGTGTCTTGATTGTGCGATTGATGATCGTGTATGTTCCCAAACGATGACTTCTCGACCCCCAAGACAGATTTGGAATGGGGCCCACTTTTCTCCCAAAATGTGAATTCACATTTTCCTTTTTCCCAAAATTTGAATTCACATTTTCCTTTTCCCAAAATGTGAATTCACATTCTGGCCCCTTTCATGAAGAATCCTACACAAAATTCCAAAATGTGAATTCACATTTTCTTTTTCCAAAATGTGAATTCACATTTCCCTTTTTCCCAAAATGTAAATTCACATTTTGCTTTCCCCCACAATGTGAATTCACATTTTGCCCTGGCCTTCAAGATCCCCAACACTGAGGCGTTTTGTTCCGCATGTCAGATTGGCTGGGCAGATTTCGACACTCACCTGACCGCTTTCGTGTGTTCCAGCCTTTTCTTTTTGCGCCCTCAGCGCACGTTGCCTTCGTCGCCTTTCCCGAGCCCCCCGCCCCCTTGCTTCCTTTCCTTTCAAGTATCGCGCATGGGTGCAAGCGGGGGGCTTCCATTAGTTCCCCCGCCGACCACAACAATCGAGGATGCATCGCCCATTCATGGCCCATAAAGACATCATTGCCGGGACCCTGCGGCCGACCCCCACTTTCACCCTCCAACTCACTCTTATCCGCAATTGCGGGGTGCTACGGTATTAATAGGGAACAGTGATCGAGCTACCCAGCCGCCCGCAAGCCGTCCAGCTCACCCCCCACCCGCCTTCCCAGCACAAAAGTGACACCCGAGCCTGAGCATGTTCCACAGTCGTTTTTGCATGGACAGCTACCGGGAACTAAATCCGACGCCAGGTGTGCGACATTGGGGCGAGGTGCGCCACGTGTGCCATGGGCGCCACGCGCGCCAGTGACCCCTGGGGCCCGAACGTGCCAGGCAGCTCTGGTGCGCCAGATGCGCCGCGTGCTCGGGGTGCGCCAGGTGTGCCGCACACTCCAGCCGCGCCAGGTGCGCCACGTCCAGGGCACGTGCAAAGTGCGTCAGGTGCGCCTGCCCACGTGACAGCACGCATCGGGAAATATGCCGACCCCCACCATCCTTGTCGAAAACCAATGCCTATCATTGTGTCTGGTGGGCCTGCGCACGGTAAACCATGCGCCACCACCCCCGCCGTTTTTGTCAAAAACCACTTGACAGTGATCACGGGGTGGCCGCGCACGGTCCAGATTTAGCCGCGACGTGCATTTTGTATTGTTTGTTGTGGCCAGGGGTAGTAGCCCTGCGCACAGCATGGACTATGCGGACCCCCCGCAGCCCCTGTCAAAAACACTACCAAGTGCTCGCGGACCTCACGAATATGACTCAAGACATTGCCCCAAATTAGATTGTGTTTTGTTTTTTTTACAGGGGTGGTTGGGGGAGCCGCATCGGGTTGGCCGCGCATGCTCCAAATGTGGAGTTAGAGTGCGTTGCATAAAGTTTTTTGACGGGTGGTGGGGGGTGGCCCGCATGGGGTCGGCATGGTTCCAGATTGGCCGGCGGGGTGGGGGAGGGGGTTGTATGTATATTAGCAGGGAAAAGTGATAAACCCCTCCCCGAGGGGGAAGAGGGGCAGATGGAAGACACAACACTCTAGATCACCTTCGCCCTAAGGGGCTGGTGAGATTAACGATTGTCGAGTCTAAGCATTTGCAGCGGTCGTCTTTGGATGGGCAGCTGGACTAGGACCCAATACAAACCCCAGGTGCGCGACGCTGTGGCGATGTGCGCCACGCTTGCCAGGCGCGCCACGGGCACCAGGCGCACCAAGCGCCCCTGGGGCCCAAGCGTTCCAGGCACGCCTGCTGCGACAGATGCGCCAGGTGCGCCAAGTCTGCCGCATGCTCCAGCCGCGCCAGGTGCACCACGTTCGGTTCACACGCAGAGTTTGCCAGGCGCGCCCGCGCACATCCGAAAAGATGCAGGTACCCACCATCCGAAAACCGATGCGCAATCGCGACGGAGTGGCCATCATGATGCTTGGTGTGGCGTCCGCGCATGATCCAGAATTGGGTGCCAAGTGCACTTTGGATTCCTCTTTGCAGTGGAAGGTGGGGGATGTCGGCATTGGCCCAGGTTGGTCGCCCGTCGGGTGGGGGAGGGGGTGTATATTCATATGGATCAGTGATAGAACTTTCCCCCGAAGGGGAAGAAGGGGAAGCGAGAACGCCCTTAACCACCCACGCCTTAGTGGGCCAGTGGGACTCGTAGTATCCGTGTCCGCCCATTTGGAGTCGTGCAGCCGAGAATCCTGCGGAGCGCTGGATGTTGACATGTTTCTCCGTCGTGTTTACATCATTTTCTAGAGTAACGTGGGGGGGGGGATAGGCTCATGGGGGGATGTCTTGATTTTTAACCGCCCATTCAATATCCATCGCCGATAGGGGCCTGAAAGCCTACCCCGCCCAGGATCGCGGTGCATGGCCATCTGGGGCAGATCGCCAATTTATCGGTGACATATCGCCAATTCCAGCTCGGTGTGCCCCACCCTGAGCCAGCCCCCATGCCCCTAACGTTCCCGCTCAATCCTCGGTGGCACATCTCCAATGCCTGCGGATGTTGATACATCCCGGGCGCGGAGAAGGCTCGCCTGCACTCCGAGGGCGACGCCATCAGCGGGCTGCAGACGCTCTACCGCTTCAGCCTCTGAGGCGCGCAAAGGGCTGCCTTGCCTGCTCACTCCGCAGCGGGAGTCCGCGGTGGTGTCGTGCCACGGCGTGCTCCGACCTCCCGGCGGCAGCCTCCAGGCGGTTCCAAGGTTTCCACAACTTCCCGGCGGCCGACGGCTGCCGACTTCGGCACACTCTCCGTCTCGGAGCTCGTGCGTGTGGGTCGCGCGGCGTGGAGCGCATGTCATGCAATCTCTCGCGCTTCGCCACGTCAGCTCTCGAGCCGCGCTGCGCCTGGTTCAATTCTTGAGGCTGCGCGCCCGCACTTGGCAGGCTGGCCTTTCCTTAAATTCTAGTTTCTCTTTTACACACGCATGGCCCACACAGTTTGAACGATAAGAACGAGTGCGCGTGCACGCTCCTGGGACGAATTCGGGAGCGGCATTTCTTGCACCGTCTGAAATCTGGTACTTGGATTGTGACCCAATTCCAAGGAGGGGCATATCATCGTGATTTGTTCTACGTTTAGCCATATATGTGAGTTAAAAGTCTTGATCGCGAGATCAGGGCTTTCTATCGTCTGATAGTTGCGGTACGTTCTTGCTCGCTTTCCCGCTGACGCAGAAGTTGGAATCGCCTTTTTTGAAGGAGGAGGAGTGGGAGGAGAAAGAGGAGGCGCAGCCGGTTGATTCGTAGCTGGAGACCCCAATAAGTGGTTGCTGGAGTTCCCAGCGGCCTGGAGGTCGAGCGCCGCTGAGGCTTGCACGGTTTGCGCATGTTGTTTAGGCTTGTTCCGGGCCTCTTTTTAAAGCGTCGTGTGTTTCCCTTTGTCCAGCAGTGTTCGCCCACTCAAGCGGAGCGTGCCAAATACATCGTCACCCAGCCTTGCCACGTCTTAATGTGCTCCTCCTCCTCCTCCCTCTCCATCCTCGACCAGGTACTCCTTGTTTGCTCTCTCTCTCTCTCTCCCTCACGCGTGACCTCGTGACTGTGCCTTTTTGACACGTCCTGCTGTGGCAGGCGGTCGCGCGTGAACTCGTAGTGGCCCTGAAGTCGAGGATTCTGGGTTAGGCCTGTTCCAGGTCTCTTTGAAAGCGTCGTACGTTTTCCGTTTTCCAGCAGTGCTCGCCCACTCAAGCGGAGCGTGCCATCTACATCGTCATCCAGCCGTGCCACGTCTCATCTCGTTTTTGTTCTCCCCCTTATCATCCTCAACCAGGTACTCCTTGTTTGTTATCTCTCTCTCTCTCTCACGCGTGACCTCGTGACTGTGCCTTTTTAACACATCTTGCTTTGGCATGAGACCCCAGCAAGCGGTCGCGCGTGAGCTCGCAGTGGCCCGGAGGTCGAGGATTCTGAACAAAATGGCAGATGGCAGCAGTAATCTCCCATGCAAGCGGAGCGTGCTACCCACATCTCCAAACCGTTATGGTTCTTCAACAACAGCGCAGTGTTGTTGTAACGGTGGGTGGGTGTCCGAATGGCCATTGATGGTTTTGGCTCTGCATGTTCTAGGATACCCGGCTGTGGTCGTGCTGGGGTGTGGTCGTGCTGGGGTGTGGTCGTGCTAGGGTGGGGTCGTGCTGGGTGGGGTCGTGCTGGGGTGTGGTCGTGCTGGGGTGTGGTCGTGCTGGGGTGTGGTCGTGCTGGGGCGTGGTCGTGCTGGGGTGGGGTCGTGCTGGGGTGGGGTCGTGCTGGGGTGTGGTCGTGCTGGGGTGGTCCGCACCCTGTGATTTATCGATCGGGTCGTGCTGGGGTGTGGTCGTGCTGGGGTGTGGTCGTGCTGGGGTGTGGTCGTGCTGGGGTGTGGTCGTGCTGGGGTGTGGTCGTGCTGGGGCGTGGTCGTGCTGGGGCGTGGTCGTGCTGGGGTGTGGTCGTGCTGGGATGTGGTCGTGCTGAGGTGGCCCGCACCCTGTGATTTATCGATCGGGATTTCAAAAACAAGCGTTTCGCCTGAGACATCCTCAAATTTTAATCCGCCGGCCTCCTTCGACCTCGATATTTATCAGGGAAAGAATCCGCCGGCCTCCTTCAAGTTGGGCACGGGGGGACATTGTTTACATACTAAAAGAGAACCCTGGGCCTATGCCTTTTCCGGGAAAACCTTCCTCCTCTCCTCTCTCCTCCCGCCTCCGTCCTCCATCCTCCTTCCTCCCTCTTCCCTCCTTCCTCTTCTCTACCCCCTACTCCCTACACCCTCCTCCTTACCCCCATTCCCCCCCCTCGTACCTCCATCCTCCATCTCTCCCATCCCACCCCCTCCACAGTTACTTGATATGAACATTTTTCTCCCCATCCACCTCGAAGTTGATGAAGAAAGAGACCCTCGACCAACTCCGCATACAGATTTTCGCACACAGGATTTCCCATATGGTTTTCCACGTGAGGCGTTCACCTCTGCAGTTATTCCATATACCCCTCTCAGGGTCCGCTCCGCCGTCCCGATCTGTTCTAAAGGCTTCGCCCCCGCTGCCGACCAATCATATATGAATACATCTCTAGACTCTTGTATGCCTCTGGGGGGCCTATGGGGGCCTTTTGGGGGCCTCTTGGAGGCCTCTTGGGGCCTCGTGGGGGCTTCTGGGGGCCTCCGGGCCCATCTTGTGGCCTTTGGGGCCGTCTTGGGCGCGTCTTGGGCCCCCCTCTTGGGGCCGTCTTGGGGCTCTCTTGGGCCATCTTGGACCATATGAATACTTCTCCCCTCCCTACACTGAAACTGTTGTGTGCATACTTGCACACGTGCATCCACACATGATGTGTGTGCTCATACTGCTACCAATCTGCACTTTCGGTCGTGAGAGCAACGTTCACAGCTGGCTCACAGGGCAACTAGCGCTGAGTGCAGCACTCGTCTTCAGACTCGTGCTCAGAGTCAGGGAAAGGAGCACGGATCAGGCCAGAGCTAGAACTAATGCTAGGGCCGAGCACCCACCGGCGCACCTCAGACAGCTGCACGCCAAGCTCAAAGAGATCTAGGAGTGATTTTAATTGTTTAGGCTTGTGTATTCTGCACCTGCTGCGAGGATCAGGGAGGAGACAGGGGCAGATCCGAGTGAAGAGGTTGGTCAGCGGGGCCACCGCCCCCACCCCATCTCATTAATATCCGCCCCCATCCCCCCTCCGCTGATTCTCCACAGATGCAGAACTACCAGCCAAAGCAATTATAATCATGCACAACCTGTGTCGCGAACTGGTTTCTTGTTGTGCTCCTTCGCTTCCTCTGACTCTTTCTCCTCGCGGAGGCGCTTCAGGGCTGCGGACTCCTCCTTCTTCAGGCAGTTCATTTTCTCATCGAACGTCTCGGTCTGGGCCTTTTTTTCGCTGGTACTGTCCACCTCCTGCTGTAGCGCCTTCACCAAATCCGGGTCCACGCCCTGCTCAAGCCATTCCTTCGCTTCAGCATCGCTCAGCTTCTGCATCGCTCAGCCTTGTGACTGCAGTGCTCTTCGGGACAGCGTGTGTATCTGAGAAATCTAAACCTCGCGCCTTGAGCCTGACCAGCGGAAGGGATGAGGCATGTCAGCTGTAGGCCTCAAGTAGTTCCAGGGTGAAGCAGGTGAAGTTTCATTGGCCAGAAATGCGTCGGATGGCTGTGAGGTATTTGTGTTTTGTGTGATGACTTTTCGATTGTGGACGAAACATGAGCAGCAGCAGTGGCTTCTCTTGCGGCTGATGCAAGAAAACTCATTGTATACGTTCTACCCAATGCACTACAACATAATGCTTATCACCCCATTGGCACAGCCAGATCCAAAATCTCAAGGTGTGTGTATGTGTGTAGTGGTTGGTGTCCCCATCTTCCCCTTCATATGTCTAGCTGGCCAGGCAAAACTCAGCACGTTGCGCTTCATGGCTCGCTTAGGCGCCTGCGCTGCTGCTGCTGCTGCTGAAAACGAGCGCCGAGGCCGGCGGGAGCGTCACTGAGCGGACAAGCACCACCCTCGGCGCAACAGGCATTAAGCCTTTGCGAGACCACTTCACCCCCCAAGCGACCTCAGACTCAGACGTCGCCCACGAAGAGGCTGGGAGCAAGGCTCCGAACTTAGTCTGTGGTGTTTTGCCATTCTCACTCTTCTCTGGCTTGGCACTGCCGATCATCAACTCCTTTGGCATGCTGTATGCCACTCCACAACGCAGCTCCAAGTCGAAGCATCCCAGTGTTCCTTCGACAGCTTTCTCTACCATGTCATGGTAAGCGACAATTGCTTTGGCTGGGTTTGACACCCGAGCTTCGTCAAGAACGCTTCCCACTGCAACCATCTTGTTGTGGTGGATGACCTGTGACTTCTCGTTCACCAGGCGGTAGAGAATGTCTGTTGCCGGATTCAACTCCTCAATGGCGTCTTTTTTGTTTCCTTGCTGCTGCTTGCCACCAGCCACGTGCTTGAAGCGACCAGTGCCAAATAGTGCAAGAGTAGTGTGCTTCTGCAGCTCGACAACCTTGTCGCCAGGGTTGACAAGGACGATCTCGTTCTTCTTGTCGCTGAACACCTGCAACTCTAAAGCCTTGGCGCGGCCTGAACCCACAGTGCACTGAGCCAGAACTGACCCTTTAAGCTCAGCGATGGGCACGATGAGCTGCGTTGTCTCCGCCTTCACTGCATCTGGCGAGGGAGCCCTTGGCGTGGTAGGTTCCACCTTGAGCCGCTTTACCGGGGTAGCAGTGTTGTCATCTCCGTTGGGCCTCTTCAAGGACAATGTAGTTGCCGTTGACACTGGCCTCACATCTACACCGAACTTTTCCTGCACACAGTCCAACGCGTCGTTGAACAACTGCTGTATGTCAGTGTCAGCATGGTCTGACCACTCCTTGTAGATGCTCTCGATTATCTGGACCTGCTTGATGTTGGAACCCTCAGGGGCATCCTTCCATGACAAAGTCTGGAGCACTGGCTCTGGTGGGAGAGCAAGCAGCACATCTGACGGAGGCTTCTCTGCCATGGGCTTCTCACTGTTGCGCCTGGCAAGCTTCCCAGCTAAGAAAAGCGCAGTGACCTCATCACTCGCGCGCTCCATTGCGCACTCTGTTTCATCAGCACTGGCGCATCGACCGCAGAAGTATACTGGGATCTTGAACTCAGAGAACTGCTTGATGTATGCAACCAGCCCGTCCCCCACGTGCACGTTGAGGTCATGGAAGATGATGGCAGCCGTAGTTCGAACAGCATCTGAAGGCAGTGCCAAGATGGTGCCCTGTAGGAGTGACTCGTAAGCCGGCGTGCCAATCTGCCCGATCTTCTTCCCACGGCTCATGTGCCCATACCCACCGGGACTGTTGTCGATGGTTGCCGGGAGCGCGTCCTCAGACAT